TTACACATGTTTCTCCACTCAAGACATAATAAACCGTAATCACATTCAAATGAGGCTGGTAACATGTTTGATTACGGTATAGCTGACTACCGATTACGAACCGTTGTTTCAGTAGAAATTGATGTTCAAGTGAAGCCGCAAAACTTTCATTTGCTGTTATTAGCCTATATTCACAGTGCATTCCAAATGATTCTTTTCTTGAACAGTTGCAAAGACTCTCATTAGAGTGAAAATGCGATATAAGTAGAATTCTAGAAAATTGAGAACAGTTTCAATTCGAATGGCTTTAAAGATTCTACGCGTTTAAAAGGCTGCATATCTATCAACGGATTCAATGCTCGAACGCCATATGAGAATTTCATCAGGTTGAATGTTTCTCTGTTTTAGCATAGAAAATTTGATTTCTGATCCATTATTCAAACATTTTCATTAAACGTTTCCGTTTCTCGCATTCCATTTGGTCTTCGACAATATTTAATTGATTAAATATTATTTATTGTTTCATTCACATAGTAAACACAATCAAAAGAATCGTGATTTAACTCATCTTCCGTATCATAGATTAAAACATACAAAAATGAATAATTGATTAATTAAAACATAAAAATATGAGTAGAATATGTAGGAACGCCATATAGGAAGTTCAAATGATGAATGTGTCAGTTGTGAGATTTTATTATTTCTGATTGATCGATGATACATGTGAAGAAAAAAATACTGATGAAAGCCAATGTGAAAATAATTTCTACGATCTCGGTTCTTTCCATATGACATTAACTGTTATCTCACTTTTTGATGAGTATGATCTCTGTAGAATAGAATATTTTACATAATTTTTTTCAACGTAAGTAACAAAGTTTTTATTCGGAGATACAAAACATTACTTTTTTTATGCTGCAAAGAAGAAGCAAACCTTGAGATAACACGTAAGTCTTTGTTGATTATCACAAAAGAAGAATATTGTTTTTATTCTTAGTTAAAAATAAATGGAGAAAAATCATCTAGATTTTTTAATATCCAACACATAATAGAAAATTTTGTTAAGGGGGGCCTCCCCCCATTTAGATTTCGTTCTAACATTACCAGTTTATAGAGCACACTTTAAAGCATATATCCTGAAGTTTTCTCGGCTTGCAATCATTATCTAATTGAGAAAAAAATTAATTACTTGAAAAACTTAGGTCAAGTTTTGAACATCGGATCCTTTTTAAAATCTTTCCTGTTCAATGGTCCTTCATCATAAAAGTCTGATTCAGCCGCAGAACGAAAGATGATTGCTTAGAGAACGTAATTAGAACAGGAAAACGAAAAAGTTTTTGTTCTTTGTTGATTAATTAACACTAATTAGTGCTACTCTACCCTAATAAAGTTGGGTTTATCCAATAATTAGTTGGCGTACAAAAACGAACTATACATCGTTCGATGGTGAATTTTACGGGCTACAAAACGATATATAAGATAGTCATAAGAAAATGTAACTGGTAGTCTAAGACTCGAAATACTCGGTAGCTTCTCAGCAAACCGCTACGTTGACATCGTTCATGTTTATACTATTCATTGATTTGCTTTTTAACTACACCAGTTCATATACGGTTCGATAGAGAATTTCACGGACTACAAAGTGAGCTATAATGCATTTTTTTCAAAGTTTGTCTTCGAAAATATATTCGACAAATACTTGACAGGTATCTCGATTTTCTGCCTATAGTGGTACATAAAAACGATTATAATTTCTTCTACAGAGAGAGATGAGGCAGAGTTTGTATGTTGAAAGATGCAGAATTGAAAAGAAACAATTCCTGAGCAAATCAACGCTGTATCATCAAACAGCATTCAGTTTAAAAAAAGTTCCATGTCATCAAAATCAGCAAAATTAATCGAAAAATGGCCTTTCATTTATTTTCATTTTTGCAGTCTGCGTTTTTTCCAACGGGAAAAACGTACCGCCTCTCTAGATATTCAGATATTTCGAGGCATATCTCCGGTAAAAGTTTGAGCCCTACTGAGCTGGTTACGCACAAGATAATGAACGTTGAAGTAGTAGCGGTAGCGTCATCTATAACTTGATAATAAAACGAGTTCTAGAGTCCGAACTTGCACTATTCGTGTCTTTAAGTCAAGCCGTTAGAAAATAACACGCTCAAGATTAAACGCTAATTGATCCTAATTCACCACCAAGAAAATGGCACTTTTTGTTAAAACTTGAATATCTCAGTAACTAATTGGGTTGATGATTTAATTCCAGTTTTTACAACAAATACTATCATTTCCGGGGACTCTAACGCCTCAGTTTCGGAATGGGGTAGTATCAGCTCGGATGCGCGTGGTAAAATACTGAAGGACTGGATAGAAGTGAACAAATTCAGATACATGAAAAACATTTTCAATTCCTCCAAGAGATCAAATCGTAACATAGATTTTTCTTTTGTTAATTTTAGTGGAGTTAAGCGTGAGACGCTAAGGTTTGGCACTAGTGATCACTGGTCAAATAGCTATAAGGTGGACAGCATTGTTTTTAGAGCTAACGGGCTTTTCTCCGCTACAGCCTGGAAAGCATATCAAGTTTTACTCGTATCGTTACAAGATTTTTGGAAGAACAAGCAAACTCCGTTTACAGCGGCACGGGCTTTATATTACATTTTTGGCAGCGCTAAGAACAAGATTATCATGCTGGATCAGTCGAGATAAATATAAATCGGCGTTACCTTCCTACATTCTTGACAAACTTAGAAATATTCGAAAACTAAGAAATCTTTTTTACCGCTATCATTTTGAGATAGGCAGAATATCTCTTCGTCTACAAACTCGAGAAGTGCAAAAAGACATTGTCCTTTATAAAACATCAAGATGGAATACGTTTCTCTCATCCATAGACAAGGCTCATCAACAATCAAACTCAATTTTTTGGTCCTTTTTATCTCGAATCTATCGTCCAAAAACTCTTCCCCTTCAAAATTACTGGTAAACAACGACATTATTGCATTCAAAAATGAAATTGTGAAAAATTTGTTTGATTATTATAACGAGCAATTTCTCCCACCGATCTCAGAGACTTCCGGGGAGAAGTTTGAGCAGATAAAAACCTAAATGGAAAACGGCATGGAGCCAAATCCGTTTAGCCACAGTAGTAGAAGTAAACAAGTATATAAAAGGCTTGAAAAGCAAAAAATCATCGGGATTTGACTTCATATCAAATTTTACGCTAAAATTTTTACCAATATCGTATACTGAATGTATTGTGGATTGTTTTAATGAGTGGCTTAAAGTGCCGGATTTCATTGAACCATGGAAAGTCTCTAAATTTGTCGTTTTAAATAAACTGAAATCCGCGATCCCCCAATGCGAGTAAACGAGGCCAATCTCCTTGTTGTCTACCCATTCAAAACTATACGAGAAAATTCTTCTTCAAAGAATTAAAGAATGGTCAGACAGCAATTCGATCCTTCCGCACGAACAATCCGGCTTTCGCCCTAAATGTCTATTACCAATTAGAATATTGTCTATGTATCAAACCATCGACAATAATCTAAGTGGAAATGTACCATCGCTGGTCATATATGTCGACTACAAAAGGCCTATGGCAAAGTTGTTCACAAAATTTTTATTATCAAGTTGTTTAAGTTAAGAATACCGTTAAACCTGTTAAAGGCAGTCTGGAACTGGCTATGAGGCAGACAGGCCAAAATTATGTTTGGGAAATGTGGCTCAAATTTTTTTGTGGTCGAATAGGTTTACCCCAAGGCAGCTCGCTGTCGCCTACAGTAAGTCTACCAATTAGACTAAAATTAAGTCAAATGTTAAAATATCTAGCGGAGGAGGGACAGAGAGTGTGCAACAGAATTCTTCAGCATTCGACTGACCATGAACAACCGATTAATTATAGTAAAACTGTTTTTCAGATATTTCATTCCAAAATTAAGAGATCCTCAAGGAAATTAAGAGAAGATGGATATCAAAATGTAAACAAGGTTCAAATAAGTTAAAGGCGGCTGGGTTTCTTCGCGTATTCATTTCCGTTTTTCTCGTGACTCTTTCCAATTTATATCCTCTTATCACACACCCTCGTCCAAATTTTAAACCGAAAGTTCAGAGTGAGACTTCGCCTTGTGCATAGGTGTCCGTACGCCGATAGTAAGAAACTTTTTTGACTTGTGTGAGGAGGAACAGTTAGATTATTATGTCGTTAATTATTTAAAAAGGAGATTATTGCGCTTCTACGATTCTGATTTGTGCAACTCTCCTATCCTAGAAGGTGTATTTTACTGGGACTATTATCATCCGGCTAAAAGTTTGAAAGCAGGATACTACTTTTACAATAAATGCGTCATAAAGTAAATAAAGACCCATAAATCCGTGCTGTTATCGTGGCTAGCCTTTATTCACGATAAAGAAGTCAAGTAACAGAGAGAAATTATCCTGGGTTTCGTTTTTGTTTTTTGTGTTGTTTTCTTATATGCACTTGGTCTTATTTTAACCTTTTCTAGTCAATATAGTACAGTGCATGATTCAAATATTATATAGGTCCTATTGTTGTAACTCTCAATTTAGTTCAAATCAACATGTCTATACCTTTCCCGAAATGTAACATTTTTCTTACGAATTTGTATTCTTAAACTTCCTTTTTTTGTTTATAACTGTATTTATTGTGAACCAACCCTTTTTGCAACAGCCCAAGGGCTTAACAAGATATGGAAAGTCAAAAAAGAAAACATAAGCTCGATTAATTTCAAAAATTTTCTACCGCATGCTAAAATTTGCACAACTCATGTAGATTTTTATTGAAGATTATTATCGATTTGTTATTTATCTTTCTTTTAATTTAAAATAATTTTGATATTGAGTTATGTCTGTAAAGAATAACCTCCTTTCTACAATATAATTGAGAGAATATGGTAAGTCTGCTAGTTTTAATTTGAAAAGTATTAAAGAAGTCAGCATCTTTAAAAATTTTCAATCGTACACTTAGTTAAAATACGCAGAATATAAGATTCGATGATGTTTTATATCAGACGTACACTATCACCCGAATAATAAAGACTTATAGCTAATTTCCATGGAAATGGACATCTATGAATATCAACTGTTATTTCATACTTTTTATTTGTACGTATATTAAATAAGTCAATTGTTTGTTGATCACAATTTAACACTATTTCTAGAATATCATTTTTACGAATATCACCATCGTATCCATATTGAGTACCATTATTTTCAATACCTTCTAAATAGACAAATTTACTTGATTCATTAGTACCACCCCAACCGTATGCCGATTTTGTCGTATAAACATTTTCTCTTAATGATGAAGATGCCGATATAATTCCTAAAAATAACCAATAATTATCTTGCATTGTTTCAATTTTAAGTCTAATATTGTGACTACCATTTGAATATAATCGTTTACCATAGACGCTTGCATCACGTGCATTAAGCCCATAATGTACAGCTAATCGCCTATTATCTTCCACTTGAATATAACCGCATACTTGATCAAATTTTTCTGCTGAACGTTGACTACTTTTTAATACTTGTGATGTTATTTTAATCATATCACCAGATGAAATAAAATCTTTATCAATTTTTAAATGTTTTGGCATTTTAATTTCTTCTTTTATTCTAATTAATTCAGCTTTCCATCTATCGAAATCTGTTTCAACATAATCTTCTGTTGCTCGTCGTATTGCTAATTCTTGTGTTAATATTCGAAAATCTTTAATTAAATCTGATTTATTTTCAATTAAGATTTGTTGAATTTTATTTCGTGCTTCTTCAGCTGCTGTTTGTACTAATTTTAACGATTTTGATTCCCATTCATCAATTTGTTTTAATAGAGGATGGGTTAATATTTCTAATGTATCATTCTGTTGTAAACGATTTCTAATAGAATTATGTTCATAAATAATTTTTTCTAATTCCATGCTTAATTCTTCATGATGTTCTGTTGTATGTCGTTTACAGAATACTCTTTGACATCCTTGACAAGCTAATATACCAATACCCTTTTCACACTTTGAGTTTGCACACGGCTTTTGAGAACTCATAATACTTCTTCTTTTCACTAAGAAAGACAACTAAATAAAAGAAAGGAAAACATATCTCTATTCAATGATATTACAAACTTCACAAAATTTTGTAAAATTTTTCGCTCAGAGTCTGCAGACATCCTCGTCTGATCAGAAATTGCAGCAAAAATTCATCTACAGCTAAAGGAGGCTTGTCGCAAGATGACAGGGTGAAGACAACACATAGAGTATAGGGTCTGTTTACGCTATATTTTTAAAATATCTTTAGTTACGAAAAATGATGAATTATTCACTGTTACCTACTATTACAATTCATCACATTTCAAATTATGAAAAAATGAGCCAAAATTTAATTCAAAACGTTTTCTCAACTGAACATGTTCTTGTCTAGATGCGATAAGATCTATCAACTCTTTGCCAACAGAGACAAACAGATTTGACTTAAGTTCATACAATGTGTAGTAAACGACTTGTCCAGGTAACTCGAGACTTTGCTGATCATGTTTTGGCGCTGATTACGAATCTCACCTTGCTTTTTAAAAATAGTTAAATTTTGGCATCAAAAATCCAGTTTTACATTTTTTGAAAACTGTATTTCCAATTTCCTCACCTAGACACTTTCCTAATAAAATTTTGTTTTGAAAAACAACTAAATTTTCAATTAAAAAATTTTAATTTAGAAGTTTTGAAAACTTTGATTTTAATTTTTCTGACCTAGAGATTTTCGTAAAATAACTTTAAAAATATACTGTCGAATAGGGAATTCAATTTGCTACAAAATGGCTCGTTTTGTTTTGAGAAATATTTCTCAGTCGAGACACAAGGGCACCTTGCAAGTTCGAACGCCCGATTCAATTTAAAAGCCTGAGGCACCTTTTGGAACTTTGTTTGCAAGTGGGGTATCTTCAGGTAGACTAAAAGTACCCAAGCTACAAATATGAAGTTGTCTGAAGAACGTTGAGTGCCCTAAAATGGAGTGACGAAAAAATGTGTAACGGCGTTACGTTTGTCTTTTGCTTTTTTTACGCGAGTAAAAATAGTTAGGAGAAAATTTATTTTACCGTTGAAAAGCTCGTTCGATGTTCTACAAAATCTTCTCTAAGAGCATTTCAGTTGGAGAACGACTTTCGCAGAAAATTAGAATTTTAGCAAGAGCCCTGCGAATTTAGGGTCTTTTTATGTAACAGCGTTACGCGATTGACAAACCTTTCTTGAAGCTCCATACTTCAACCAAAAAACTTCGCTTTTATAGAATACATAGAGCATGATGAGCTGCATCGAATGGCGTTTGAACGATTTGTCTAGCTCTCAAACTTGCCGAAATAATTCAGAAAAAGTGTGTCAAAAACGTAACAGCGCTATGTTTGGACAAGCCGGCATACCCTAGCACTTATTCTCTATAAACTGCTGAAGTTGGGGGCTGAAAATTTGAACTTATTATCCTGAAAAGGAGGGTGGCTCGGCAGAATGTTTATCACATTTGAACGAAAAGCGATAGAGACATGCGGTTTTCACCGTTGGATAGAAAACATCGGAGGACGTAAGCGTATGCAAAAACTGGGCTTCGAGGTAAGACTTACCATGGTAAGCCTTTCGATGCAAAATCTAGGAGACGTCGTTCCTGGATCGTACGACGGATTTTGTTTTTCAATAGTGCAATCGATAGCCCGAACCGAGATCTACAATTCTAGATCCGTCTTAACTCTCTATTTGTTACGATTCAAGAGCTATACGCATTTTTCCGTGAGCCCCGATTTCGGCCAGTTGACTCTGGGTGATCCTA